GAGGCAGAAGAACAGCACTAACTCAGTGCGCAGACAGCCAGTGCACGTGGGCTGATTTGCTTCCCGCACTGTGATAATTTTAACACAAAAAAGTGGGGTGGCAGGAGAAAGAAATAAGGAGACACAAATAACATAAATGAATGCATCACATACATACCAAGTGCTGGAAGTGCTCTCAATGACTCAAGGATGTTTGGACTGGAAAATTTTGCCATACATCGGAACGGTTTTCTTCTGTCTGATAGGATCCCCATGTTGTGTTCATCCTTAAAAACAGTTTGTAACTGACAGAATATATTTGTTATTAGAATTAGGGATACAACAATTGCCAATTTAAAATAGCAGTAGAACAGCTTATTAGAAACTCATTTTTCAGACTGAAATATAAAGACAACATTTATTTTCATAAAAATTTTTCATCAGACTTCATTCAGGGAAATGTCATGCAGAATTGCTACTCCTTGTCACTCATTATCAACCTTAAGTGAAAATGCAAATACACACAGTTAGCTGTGATCATTTACTGTCGTGGAATATGTTTTAATTAAACTAAGGATAACTTGCAAGTAACATTAAGACAGGTAGCAAGAGTTTGCTTAAACTTGCAAAAAAGGAACAGAGAAGGCAAAGTGAACATAGGCCCTTTAGAGAATGAGATTGGTGAAATAATAATGATGATTTAGAAAATGGTAGAGGAGTTGAATAAATACTTTACATCAGTCTTCATGATACAAGACACCATAACGTCTCCAGAAATACCAAATAATTAAAGGGGCTAAAGAAAACGGAGGAAATAAACACAAACTATTAGTAGAGAAAAAATGCTAGGGAAACTGATGAGAAATACAGAGGTTCCCTGGATCTGATGGGATACATCCTACTAGGGGGAGTAGCTGCAGAGATGGTAAATGCAATGGTCGTAATTTTCCAAGAATCCTCAGATTCTAGAAAAGTCCCGGGGGTTTAGGAAATTGCAAATGTAACATGTTTATTCAAAAAAATCAACGGAGACAAAAATAAGGTAACTATAGGCCAGTTAGCTTAGCTTCTATATTCAGAGATGCTGCCAGACCTGCTGAATTTTTCCAAAATTTTCCATCTTTATTTTAGATTTTAAGCAACTGCAGTATTTTGCTTTTATTTAGGTGGACAGAACTTCAGTACGTATGTCTCATTTGAAAAAGATAATGATCAATTCAGCTGATCCTCAACAAATGCCCTGCATTAACTGTCAGTTAAGTTATTTATTCAAGACTGCAGAATGGAGCTTGACAAAAAATGTTTGGACCAAATGGGCTAATAATGAACTGGAACTACAAACTAAGACAAAATGATAAATGTCTGGAAGTTCCAGTATACATACAGAGTGGATTATATGGCTTTCCTGGGAGGAAAAGAAATGGCCTAACAACATACGCTATGACCTTCAATATGTTGTATCAGATCAGAGAAACAGCATTCAGTACAAACCCTGTAATGAACCTCCTCCAGTTTTGGAAGCGACCCTTCCCCAAAAGTCGCACATGTTAATCTTTTGGCATCTTCTTTCTCTCTGAGATTTTCTATGGTGATTCTTTGATCTTGTACTTAGAGGGCAGAAGGAGAAAAAAAAGGAGTAGAAAGTGTCATCAATGCTACCTGTCTGGGTGAAAGATCAATTAAATAATTTCTGTTACTCAGCAGGATAACATCTATTCTGTTTGAATCAGAAAAACAAGCAGATTACTTAAAGGCTTCAGTTTAATCTTGCCAAAGATATCTATATCAAAAGTCAACATGAGAGCCCCCTGCAGGACAGCTTCACTCCAATATATAGGTTACTGCAAAATTGAATACAGAAAATCACTACACTCAATCTATTATTGGTGTAGACGAATATGTAGCATTCTACTGGCGTGTGGCAGTCTTCACCTCTGGTTCAGAAGTTTGGGTTCAAGTCCCACCTAGCCCAGAGGTATGCCATAATGGCGTGTGTTCAAATTGGTTATAAATATTTTTTTCAAATGTTACTATATCACAGACAGGCAATACACAAAACAAACCAAAAGTCCAAGCTTAACAAAATGATTAAATTCTAAATACTGTTGCTGATAACAGTTTATAATTTCCACCACTGTCAAGAAAATCGATGCCAAGTAAAGAAAAACTATTACTTAGATTCTCTGGCACTCTTCCTCTGCCAGCATCCGTAAATAAAGGTTTTCCACTATAAAATCACGGCACTTAACTGCAATCAGGAAGGAGGTTATGTGCACCTACAACACAGAAATAACACACATTTCTTTCCCAAAAAGGTCCAAAAGTTAATACACCTTTTTATAATTTAGCACAAGGCATCTCTCCAACCGAGCATATTATCATTATAGTTCTGTAAATCACTTGACTCCTGTCAGAATATGGGAAGATTGCAACTGCATGGAAATAATGAATCAGTACCAGATTCCTGGTTGGTGTTTATCTGTTGGAAAGATTTCCTATGGTGCGTAGAAAGTGCCTGAAATTAAAATAAATAAAGTACAATGTCAACGCAAGTGTAATCACCAGCTTTATTTACATAGCAACTAACAAAGCAAACCT